AGCCAAGAACATCCCCAAAATGATCAGAATTGAGATCCCAAACTCGCATTATGGAAATAGCGACAGGGGTATGAAATTCATAAATGCCCAAACCGCCCTTAGAAAACGTTCCTACGTGAGTAATCGTACACTAAGATTTTACTAAACCATTAATGACAAATATTGTATTTCTCCAAGTTGAGAAATTATACGAAGACAAATTTTTTTTATAAGAATCACAGGGGTGTCTGAGGAACACAACCTTATGTCAATGTACCGTTGAATATCGTGTGAATGTATCAGTACGGGAATGTAAGGGGTGGATTCACTGTTGCTCGACTACGAGCGGCAAGAATTTTCACAATAATTTTCCTACGCGCCAGTTATGAAACGGGGAAAATTGCTACGACCGTTATCGTTGTCGGGGGATGATGGCGTGACGCGGGGGCTGGTAGCTTTTGGGAGAAATCGCGAGCATAGAAATGGAGATGACATCGAGGGTAGTAAGACGGGTGGGAAAAATGGTAAAAATCTTCGTGGAGGTGCACGCGAAATGTAAAATACGAAGGGATGGATCATTGCAGCAGAAGCCGAGGCGGAAACGGAAGAGTAGCGCGAGGCTACACCGCGAATTCTATTGTGACCCTGTATAATGGGATACGTACACGTAGAGCTCTAACGGGTTTCAGGAGAGTGTAAAAGCACGAGGGAAACTATTCCTTGATAGAAGCTGGATGGAAAATAATGGCACGCCATCGAAGAGATCGATCTTGCGGATGCTGTCTGGCATGTCTACTCAATGGGATATCACTTCCAATATCGACAACATAAAGAAAGTAAAAATATATCTGGCAATCATGGAGAAATGTTCTGCCGCGGGCACGTGGTTGCGATCCGTCAAATTTTTAAAAAATAACAACAAAAGATTATTGCGAGGAAGGCAACTTCCATTGGCCAGTCAGGATACGGCTGCTTCGTAAGCTTGCGAGAAAGTGCCGAAAATTTCCCCGGGATAATCCCCGGGCGAAAGGAATCCCTCTTGCAGCTACTTTAGGAGTCGCATTCAATTTTCTAAAGAAATCGCTGACTTCGACTCTCTCTTATTTTCTGATCTGCCTCGCACTTCCATTCGCTTTTGCCTTCCATTACTTTCACAATTTTCCTTCCGTCTTTCTCTTAACTCTTTTTTAATGGACACGCCTTTACGGAAGTAAGGGAATCAAATGGGACGTGCATAAATATTGATAACGCGAAATCAGATCTAGCGTTCTGTACGAAAGTTTCTCATGGCAAATAGTTTTTATGCCAAGGGTAATGAATGATTTACATTGATTTACCACGCATTATCTCTGAAAAAAAAACTTTTTAGAGGAAAATTTGTCTACGGGGTGTTTCGTGAATTATGAAAAAAAAAGTGCAGTGACGTCACGAACAAAAAAAGTGTTACAATAAGAAATTTTAAAAAATGAACGATTTGGGAATGACATTGTTAATTGTTATTTTTTTGTCATTTTTCAGGATGCGTTAACGTCCCCGGAAACTGTGATAAAATCTGGGTTAGACCTCGTTTTGAGTTTTACCCTCAAAACAGCGACAGCCAGTACGATAGCTCATGGAAAAATGGAAGTAGTAACAACCAAGGCATGAAGGTTGTTTCACAGCCAAATGACGACGAGCAGGAAGTGACGGTAGGTCGTTCTCGAGCCTAAAGTCACGTCGTCAAAAAGGTGCATTGTAGGGAAGAGTTGTGAGTCGCATGTCTACTGTGCACTCTGACACAAATTCCGATGGGGTTGCCAGAGCGCCACAAGAGTGGAGTATACCCTGAGATAACTAAGTATTCCTTCTGGGTACTAATCCTTTTTACAGATTTGCTTATGTAAAAGCAACTTATGGTCTGGCTTGGAAATGATTTTCCAACGTTCATGGAAACGATGTCTAGTTTTACAGGAAATGAATTTTTACGGAGTTAAGGTATTTATCCTTTTTCTATGGACGAAGCAAATACAAGAGGATGACTGTAGTGGAAAAATGGCCGAGAAGCACGCAAAAGCATCCAATTAGTGAGCTCTCGGAACAACAAATCCGCGTGCCCATTGACGTAGTAACTGTCTTCAATTGTCTTTCCTGATACAATCTAGATGTTCGTGAAGCCAATAGTAATATTAATACGGTATTACTCACAAAGAGCTTCTACCCTTATCTTTTGATATTCTGTAGAGTTCGGCTAAGGAATTGAATTCACGGTTGGCATTAGTTGTATTAAGATACAATTTTTCGAAGGGTGCATTTTAAAAAGGGATGAAACTGTCGCAGCATATTTTCCGCGATGTCGATAAAAAATGAATTGCGTCAACCGTAGTTAAAAGGGATTCACAATAAAAGAGGAACGAAACTCCAGAAGTTGACTTGGTTATTTCTTCTGTGTACCTCGTCAAAAATATGTCTACCCATTTCGTGACACTCGGAAAAAAAGAAAAAACGCCCCTGCAATTTCCTGTGGACTTTCAAGTGTGACAAGGTTTGAGGATTCATCATTTTTAGAAGAATTTTTATTTTTCTCCACGGAACGGAAGGAGGGACGTAAAATCGAAACACAGAAAACGGTGCTGTAGCGAGAATCGTGTCTGAATAAAAATAAAAGGGGTAAAAATAGAAAACCCAGAAAAGGGGATGAAATTTAGTTTGCCAAAAAGTACATTTCTTTTGTTTCAATCAAACGGCGATCGACGCGTTTGCACGGATTGGAGGGTTGAAGGGTTGGTGGTTTGGGAAGTGGGTTGGTTCGTGCCGCAGGGGTTGGTTGTCGGTAGAGGGAGATTTCCTGGAATGGCTGAGCATAAAGGGGCAAATATGGAAAGCAATTCTCTTCCCCAATGCAGAAAGCTATTGCTTCAAATTGGATTTTAATTTAACTCGGTTACGAAATACCCTTTCTTCTTCCCAACGAATATATTCGCGACTGAGCACCTACGTGTATATACCTCACGTATCAACACCCATGTGCCGTAGACCGACGTATCCATGAAATCCAGTCCCCAGAAGATCTGCATTTCAACATTTTATCCACCCAATCCTGCAGTAGCATTGAAAACTGTATTACCACAAGGATCGTTACCGTGACCACCCCCTTTGGGTCCCCTTTCGCCACGCGTCAGTGAAAAATAAAAATGCGCATCCGCTTCCAAACGGGCAGAGGTAAAACCGTATCGAGTTGATGACAAGCATCGTAAAACTTTCAACCCCCTCCTCAGATTACATTCGGCACTTATAATCTTACGCGAAGAATCCGACTGTACTTTCTTAATTTTTTTTTTTAGAAAAAAAAGTCCAAAAATTTTGCCACAAATCATTATAGTTTTTAACGAGAGTAGGGGTTGATTGTAAAAGGAAGTAAATCCTTTCCGAGAGGGTTGCTCATGTCAGCAGTCCTAGCGAGGTCAATCAAGCAACCCTTAATAACCCGCAGCCACCTAAATACTAACTACCCCTAGTAAGTAAGGGTTGCAGAGTCCTTCACACCCCCTGACACTAAAGTCGTCCAACACTTCGAATTGACGTTCGTGCTGGTGCATTTATATCAGCGATTTATACCCACCCCCGATACAAACCTTTTTCTAGCAGTGTGTATGTATGCATCGCTGAACTATCCACCCCTTATAGGATATCGCGGAAGGGATGCTAACTCGAAGGAAGAAACTCGTTAAACAACCAAGTACCAATATACCCAGAGGTACGGACTATTACGTACACGTACGCGCTCAAGTAACCGCACACCCTTAACCCCCATGGTGGATGTCTCGATTTTCCTACTACCCCTGTGCCAATCGTTAAGGGCTTGTTTGAGAGCTCACTGAAATCTAAGGGTATAGCTATCATGAAGCAAAACTACCGGCGATGTCTCGGACTTACATTTCCAACTCATGATCCTTTGGATTAGTTTTAGAGTATTAAGGGTAGTTGCCATATCAAGTCTTAACTACGAGAGGGTTCGAAGTGAATTTCCAGCAAGAAAATGCCACGTTGTTAAATGTCAGCGTGACGTAAGTTAGGGAAGGGGGTTTTCGTTGAGAGGGTTAAGGGGTAGTTCGGATAGAGGGGGACGAAACAAACTGGAAAATCTTGCCACGTTCAGAATTCTCCTGGGATTAAATCGGACCACCCCTTCTCGTCGTTTTTCTCTTTTTTTTTTTTTTTTTTTTTTTTTTTTTTTTTTTTTTTTTTTTTTTTTTTTTTTTCCTTTTCTTATGTCTCTCCCTTCTTTCACTCAAACTTACACTGTAGCTGTTTATTCCAATCCCTCCGGGCAGGTTTTGGCTGGGTAATAAAAAATTTGGACTATCCCCGCGAGGTGCCGCAGGGAACCGCGTGACTAAAACTCGGAGAAAACCGGCATTTCAAACCGCCGTGTATGTACAATGGGAGGTAGAGCAAGAAGGAGGGAAAAATGGCGAAAACAATAATAAATTCTTTCTTTAATTATGCAAATTCCGCGGAACTTCGACGCGGAACGGCCTACGGTTTTTACCGAGGGGTTATTATGATTCCAACCTCCTACACGGGGAAGCACGCCCCAAGGTGTTTTCCATATCTGACAGTGTTTAAGGAAACAGAGGATAAAGTAATGGCCAGTCCCCGTCTACGAGACAGCTACCCCGCGAAAAAACCTTTTCTCTTTATATTATTATTGCAAAATCTTTAAGAACCTTAATCTTTACGTATAGCATGCCAGTGATTATAGTAAAAAGAAAAATATGATATAAAAATTATATGCATTAACATTTATCCCTATAACGAATTGCGATGTTAATAACACTTTTATAATTTCGCGATGCAATGCAATCTTGAGATTGCTAAGCTTTATGAAAATTTTCTAAACGATCGTAATCCATTATGTACATAAATTCGCAAAACATTTGTAAAAATGAATTAACGAAATTCGAAGGATTTTCATGAAATAATTTTCGCAATAGAAAGAGGGAATGAGATATGGGTATGGCACAAGTTATAAACAGAAGGCATTAATTTTAAATATCTAATATGCATTTTATTGTTGGCCAAGTATTTAGCTGAAATAAACAATTATGGGCAACATGTCGGCGTACGTGTCTCTCTCCCGATCTCGGAAATATCTCATCGCGTTCACCATCACAATATAAATTCTGATAGAAACTCTTAATCCTCTCTACGTTATCATTCTCATTCTCCTTATCATTCTCATACGTGCACACACGCGCACGAGGCACTTCCTCCGTCAATCGCATACGAAAAACCGCTTCACTCAAAATTATAATATTCAAATAGGTGAAAAATTATAATTTTTTACAAATAACCAAACAAATACAAAAACCAATAATTTTTTCCCTGATTTTCAAAATCAATACATCTGCGCACTGGTGCCCGTGCGTGCACGCCTACACGTGTGCGTGTCAGAGTTCGCGACTGATAAAAGTATTTAGTCCGCATCGCTCCTGTGAGAGGGTTAATAAACTGTTAAATAATTAATAATTAATCAATCATTAACATTAAGACAATGGATATATGCAATAGTATTACGCTGACTGACTTCTCTACAAGCATAATTATGAAACACCTGCAACTTCTCTCTCTCTCTCTCTCTCTTTCTTTCCTTTTCTATATTTTTTGTTTCTTCAAAACTCTCATGCCAATTTCTCAATCTCTCTCTTTCTCTTTTGCTCTCATTCGCCGATTCACTCGTTATCGTTAATATACTCTGTCGCTCATAAATTCTCATTCATTAGACGCGCATCAACCTTACAGGTATTCTAGTATCCGGAAATTCCCTTGCTAATTTTACATTATTGTATTTGCTCTTCCTACTTCGCCTATTCCTTCTACTTGTTCGTTATCTGCTTTATGTTATCCGTACAACAGATTGGTATTCTCATTTCGATTTCGCGTTTCTATAGTCTCTGCGTGTTACACATTCAATTGATTGAACGATAGTCAAAGGGAATTCACTTGGAGTCCTTAATACCATTTAGAGTCAGATTTTCGTTCGAGTAGTTGCTAATTGTACATACAATTGACGTCTACCATTGCAATGTATCTTTATATGCCTGCTCTTTTACGAATAATCTAAATGCATCTTCAAGATTGAAAAAAATTGAAAACGCTATCTGTGTATGGCTAATATATACCCGAATCGGGTTGATGATTATTACTCGTTTTAATTAGTTTTTTTTTTTGTGAAATATTAATAGGTTTTTTTCTTGCTTAACACAGTTCCTACAATGTCATTGGAAGAGCAAATAAAAAAATTGTCAAGAATTAACAATGGTCATCTTAAAATCTATACGTCATGTCTGTGCAATTATAGTTCTTGTATATCCGTGTTTTTTCTTCGGTTGTTATTCGATCAATGTAAATATTCCCGTCAAACAGTCTCACTCGCGCCATGAAACATTCAACATTTCCTTAATCTAAGAACTTTTACTCATTCTCTCTCTCTCTCTCTCTCTCTCTCTCTCTCTCTCTCTCATCTCTCCTTCTCGCTGTCACAAACACTTAGAAAAGTCGCATAGGAAAATATAAACGAAAATCAGCACATTTAATCTTTTTTTCTCAGACTTTTGGGTTCGAACAGTCACTTTTTCTTAGTGTTTCTTTTTTTTTTTTTTTATAATTTTACCACATTTTTTCACCCTTTTCTCTCCCTCGAATTTTATCGCCTCGTATCACTTTATCTCTACTGTAAACATTATGAACTTCGCGTCCCTTTAATAAAATATAATAATTTCGACTCTCTACGATAAAATATCTTCTTACAATTTTCTCTTTATTATTTCCTATTTCATTTTTTCTCGTGCGTCGCTCCTTTTAATGTATTTTCTTTTGCTTCGTTTCCACGTGCTATCGCTTTTAGCTCATGAAATATAATTAGTTTCCTCTCTCTCTTTCTCTCTATCTTCGTCTCTCGCACATCGCCATCTTACGTAATTCTCAAAGATCCTAAATCGTATAGCGTCCTTGATACTGTTTTCTTTTATTTTTTATATCATTCCCTTTGCCATTTTTATTAATTGTATTATCGTTATATGTCCTTCAATTTTGACGAGCGTAGCCAAGCTGTCAATTCGATAATTCTGAAATGTCCCTTCCTTCTATTCAAGTTTCCTGTTTCTTTTCTTTTCCAGAAAGAGAGGGGTGAAAAATACCATTACCAATCTTACGTGCTATCCTTTGACACGCATCACGCGACACTAATAATCTCGACTAGTCAGAAATAGTGTATACTGCATAGACAGTATACAGTCATAGACGGAAATACAGTCATATCGTAAATCCCTTTTAAATTCGCAAATTTCGTTTTACTCAAATTTTGAATTTCGTCAGCTGCTTATTTTTTCGTCTCCTCTCTCGTTTTCTTTTCACCCTTCTCCTCGTACCACGAAATAGACATTTCATATTCACAATGACAATAACGCAGACTCACAGGCCATTTAGTACATCCCCACACGATTTCCAATTTCTCCCACGCACTTCATACACGCACATACAATGTTTCCGAAACTCTAAAAAAGATCGCCTCAATTCCAAGTAAATTCAAGGATACCAATGAAACGGGCCGATAAGACAAATATAAAGGGAGAGGAAAAGAAGAATGAAAAAAAAAATATGAAAAGAAAATCTTTTCCTTATTTTTTTTTTTTCATTCGTCAACTTGCAACGTAACGGGATAACGGCATAACCTACCTACGAATGTCATTATTTCTAATCGCGAGAAGGGAGAGCTCGATAGAAAAGACAAAACAACAACTAACGAACGGAAGAAAAAATATATATGCAAAAATACGATTTTCCAAAATGGAATTCGTCAAGCGAAATCTTAAGCGAATGACGTCAGCGTCACGCAAGGAATAAACTATTGGACTGACGCGATATACAAGAAAGGAAGAATTTCGGAGTTTTTCATAATTTCAACAAGTAGAACGCACGTGCGTGACAATGAATAAAAGAAAATTGTAATGCAGTTAAGGGGATCAATTAGCGCGATGAAGATATAGTACATCTGTAAAGACGTGATATGGAGGTTGGCGTATTAATTGTCCGGGTTGTGACATATGCATACATTTGTATGTATATCTATAGTACGCTATATTATGTGACCGACATACAAAGAAAAGCTACGTACATATTTACAAATCTACAAGAAGCAAATATATGTTTCAATAAAGAGTATCTAAATAGGCCGCTTCGCGAGCATAAGCTTATGCGTATAAGTAAAATCTACAATTGTGTATTTATGTATGTATAATAATATTAATAATATATGCGTATGTCTTCCGTGTAACTTAAGTGCGTACACATTTCTGCGTGTATCCTTCTAATTTACTTGACGAATTAGTATTAATTATTATTATAATAATTATTATTATTATTTGTATTATCATTGCAATAATAATAATAAAGAGCAATCGAGAGACCAACGCTTTTTTTTCTATTTTTTTTTCTTCTTTTTCTCTTAAATCCGTGTACATCTAAAGGCCTCTAAAACGACGACGACGATTACGACCATTTTGCAATTAATTCATCTTTATGGAAAAATACTGTGTTGTGTATACTATATATTTACTAATTTATTCTCGTAATGATTGAACGCGCCGTTTCTTATTTAGGCAATTGGACTCACTCGTCACGCGATACCAGTCATCCCTCGTTTCTCAGTTTTATCTCAACTATTTCTAGTATCCATATTTAAAGAAATTTCTTTATACAGATATATACATACACATATATATATATTTTATACAGGAGAATACCGATTAATATTCCTGGCCGTCGTTCCTAAGAGAAATTTTGGGAAATTTCAAAAAATCGATAAAATAAATCGAAGCAAAGAGTAAAGATAATTTTTGTAAAAACAGAGAAAAAAGAATGACTAGTACAACTACGGTGTACCTATTATGATCATATAGTACTATTAAAGCCGTTATTAATCTTCTGTTCAGTAATTCGATAGATATACGTTTGCATTTTTTTTGTATTATTAATAATACATAATCTGTACCTTGAATATAGTATTTATACTGTGTATAACGCGAGCGCATGTGCGTTACATACGTATGCAAAGTTACGTACGCGTGGGCGCATGCGCAGTTAAATATTTTATGTACAGAGAGAAAAATTACGCTCACTGTAAGTACATCACGATTGTTCTATCCATATGTTCTCTCGTTACATTTTATGCTCCCATTCGCTCTGTCGTTTCGCTTCATTCTTGTTCTATCTGTCAGTCCCACGCTATTATTACTTATATCATAACGCTTTCTCGCGCGTGCGCATGCGCAAATCGTCGAATTTGTATTTGTCTATTTTTCGTGCTATTTATATCTCTCGTGCCCAACAGTCTGTTATTTTTTTTCGGTTTTGTTCAAAGTCGCACTTTGACCACACTACATCTCTCCACACATGCCTATGGTATTAATAGGCAAGTGGCAAGTTCGACCATATCTAATTTCGAGAGGGAAAGAAAATTATAAAGAAACAATAAAAGTAATATCATGAATTTCTAATTATTTCGTCTATCGTTTACGCGTTATTTTCAAGGGAAAAAATAAAAAAAATACTTTCGCTGATTAAAAGACAAAAAACTTCGACAGCAATCGCAGAATAGACAATAAAACGAAGTAAAAATGAAATAGGAAATTTTTTGAGTTTTAGCGTCGCGAACGATTTTCTTCTACCAGTTCAATGGGCACCTGGGAAAGACAATAGCGTGAATGGAGAAAGGGACGATCGTGACTCGTCATTAATTAATAATATATAAAAATGATTCGATAGAGAATAGTCTTAATACTAGTATCTTGCACGATGTGAACAGGCCTTAAAAAAACACCACTGTCGATTATGTGGACATAAGCCGCACTGTCCACACTCCTAGGTTTCATAAAACTTAATAATGCGTAGAAATAATTCTTTAAAAAAAAAACACACTTTCTCTCCCTCTCTTTTTACTCTCACACTCTTTCTCTGTCTGTCTAGCTCTTGCACGTATACTGACATTCTTCTTGCATCTCTCTTTCTCTCTGCTAAGCTCAACTTAAAACAGTAACACACGCCTAGGCGATAAAATAATAAGATAGGAGGCTAGATAGCACCGTGTCTCGTATCACTATTAATATTTCTCTCCCACTCCTCGCGGTTTTTCTAGTTTGCACAGTTCCGCAACTCGTCTGTATTATATACATACGTAATTTAATGTTTTTTTCTTCTTTTAATACAAAAAATATAAGAGATGCAAAACGATTTCATTAATGTCCATAACGGGTGAAATTTTCATCAGTCGTAATGCACACGTGATACGCAATATCCGATTATTGTACGCTACGTCTTCGTTAATCGATAAACGAATTAAGTAGATTTGTAATAATAACCATTTTTCTTTTTTTATGTACAATATTTACATGATGCCTTACTTTACAGCTACTTTGCGTAGTATTCTTGCATTTATAATGCCACTTGCCATGATTGCGTATGTTAAATATGTATAATTATTCGGTGCTTCTCGTGAATTTATACGTGTGTTCTATGCTGTCTGTGTATTTGTTTTTGTCATTTATTGCATCTTAACCGATACTCTTAGCTGCACTTCCTTGCACTTACCAATTTTGCCTTTACACAAATATGTGTATACGAAGCGTGCCTTTAACGATAACAAAAAGTTCACCCGTACGTTTGCAAATATTATACACGTGAAGCACACGTAAGAATTCATGATAGAATGGTATTTACGTAGATTTTCATCGAATATTCGCCTCATGAAATGCTTTTCGAGTCACAAAGAAATAATAATATTAACATAACAAGGGCAGAGGTTTTCATGGCATCGTTGTGGCTGCCACGTTCTGCGCTTAAAAATTGTAGTTTCGAAAAGTACGAATGACTCAATCTACGTAGTGATCGTAAGTTCTTTTGCCAGTCCTGAGGACTTGGTGCATTGCATTAACGACATCCTTCCTGTGACGGAAGGTGAAACAATCAGCAGGAACATTCGAGTTCCATCTATGAGAAACACGATTAAGTAACGCCCGTTAGCCTAATCGTGAGTTTGAGCTTTTCTCAAACAACATCCGGTTGCATCGTGAGTAGGTAAGTGGTAGGATCATAGTATCCAGCCAAATAATAGATATCGTTGTTGTCATAGATGGTAAGATACCGATGGGGTTCCTTTCCCAACTTCTCAATATATTCTTGAAGCGGCAGAACTTCGCACTTGTGCGATATTGTCTGCACGTCATTTTCATCCATGTGTGGTGACTCAAAAAGTGCACCCTGAAAGAAAATGGAAAAAATATTTGTATAATTTTTCCATTTAATGACAAATTCTAAAAACAAAAAATTAATAATAAAATGCTGTATTCTCAGGGAACTCACAAGGTATTTAAGATTTGTCGGACAGCCGACTGTTTCTTCAGGATGATAAAACCATTTGACCTTGACAATCATATTCGAACTAGACGTCTCCCACATAGATTCTATTCTCCCTATGTAAGGTCTGTCGGGTCGACCCGTTGAGAGGAACACGGCACTGTCGCCGATCTGTATAGTCTCGCTGCCACGTTGAATGGCACGGAAGAATTGTTTCTTGGCACGACCTTTCGCACCGGGTCTTCTATAACCCTTACCAGCCCAGCCCCAAAGTTGTCGAGCAGGTAAGAAAGCAGCCATCTTGCTTCTACTCTCCACAGATTCTTGACGTTCTCTGGACTTGGTCTTTTTGTCCGATTTTTTCGGTTTCTCGATTTTCTCTTCCGGCTTAGGAGGTTCTACTACCAGGGGTACTTCCTGTTCAGTTTCTTTTAATTCTAATTCCTTGTCTCCCTCATCTTCCTCCTCTTCAGCATCCTCTACTGTAGCGTTTGTTGGAGATGCATCCATAGCAATTGATTCCTCTTCGCTTTTATGACCGGAACAGCTCTCACCGCCACTTTGATGACTTCCGTCACTATGACTGCTATGGTGGCTGTGCTTATGCTTGTGCTTACGATGTTTCCTATGCTTATGCTTTCTGTGTTCCTCGCAGCACTTGTGCCTTCTATGCTTTTTCTTACCTTCCTGTGCCTCCTGGAGTCTCTTCAGCTTATCTCTTCTCCGCTTCTTCATGCGTTTTCGTTCTCTGTACTCCTCCATTACCTTTGAATCTGTTTCATTATTTTTCTGTTGATCGATCTTTGCATCAGAAGAAGTTATGTTGGTCGTTGTACTCGTACATGCACCTGATTGACTTCCGGTAGACGAGCGTTTGTCATCTGTCGACGCAGAAGTCTGTCTTCGACGTTTGCCCAATGACAGAAGAGGATTTGGATCATATTCTGTGAATATACAAAGAATTCCATTAGATGCATAAGTTATTTTAGCGATTATAAAAATTATTATTATGGAATCATTACTCACCAACTACAGGGTAATCAGGCTGCAGTAGTCGAATATCGTCTAAGGCTATCCTGCCACTGTCTCCGTCGTCGAATTCGACGCTTACAAATTTCTCATCTAATTCTGGATCGGGTTCACTAGGTTCTACTGACGTACCTGGGTAGAGACAACGATATTGCTGACTCCAGTAAGCACAGAGACGCGTCCCTGGTGGTATTTCCTTAGTGGAACCAGGACACACCTCGACGATCTACAGTGACAGACATAAATAATTTCGTATGAATAAAAGCCTGAAATGTTGTTATTTGATTAATGATAACACTGAATACTAACGGCATCCCGAAGAATCTCTTCTCTGGAATGGATATGGGGCCTGTTTCCTCGTTCGCCGTCAAGAGTAATAGCGTAGACATCCGGCGCTTGGACGGCGCTTAGACGCCCAGCGTAAAAGAGCCCACCCATAGCAGTGAGCACTCTTAGCTGATCTATACCCAAATGTGCCGATGTTAATTTGCATCTGTTTGTAATGTTATCAGCGCGTTCAGCTTTGGCTGCTTTTGCACATTCCTTGCATTCCTTGCATTCTGAAGATTTTCGACGTTTGGATTCCTTGCCATCCCTCTCGCTGGATTTATGTCGTTTTGGAGACGTTGAATAAGACTTTCTTTTTTTCTTTTTTATTTTCTCATGCTTTTCCTTTTCCTTCTCTACATGTGTTTCAATAGGTTCAACATCCACGGCTGTTTCCTGAAACAAAAAACATTGAACGTTCACTTACACATATTTTACTTGCCTGTATATTCTCTTTTTATTTTTGTAACTATATGGTACCATTGCCAATTCCGGAACGGTAGTTTCAGCTGGTGCAATTTCCGCTGGAGTGTTATTCCACTCGGTTCCTTCTTCCTCTTCCCAGTTTTTCACTTTTACCTCAGCCTTGAGTTTTGGTTTCAGTTTATTACATTGTTTCTCTAGCTTCGCATCCTGACTTAATTTTGCCTTCTCTGCTATTATTGAGCTTATCACGTTTTTATTATGCAATGGCGTTTGCTTTGCTGGCTTTGCTTTCGTTTTGGTACTCTTGTGATTTTTTGCATTTTTGGCACCATTTATACCAGATTTAAATGGTAACGGTGTATATCCAGTCTTGCTGATAAACTAAAAACACAGAATATAACGTCATTGTCACTCTACATACAATTAGCGTAGATATTTTTAAATGCAAATGAATAAACAAGGAAACTTATAGACAGTACCTTATTTTGAAGATGTCGATTCTTTGCGTTTAATAAATAGCCCACAAGTGAACTTTTACTTTTAGGCTTTTTAGCAACAATAGTTTCCGTGAGATGCCTTACACTGCCAGAAGCACACATCAGTTTTCTGGGACGACCAACTTTCCTCTTCTTGGAGGCAGAACTCGAGCTGGAGATCGTGGGAGCCGGTGAGGACGTTTCATAGCCCAACTAAAAATGTATCAAACAACAAATTTTAGTATATAAAAATCCAACTACTGATTAACGAGTAGTTTAAATTCCTTACCCTCGTCGTAATCTTCTCATCGTCTTCCTGAAGAACTTTACTAGTCGGAAGCACCGTGATAGGTGATGCAACCGGTGGAACAGGAATAGGAATACTTGGAATACTATCAAGGAGCTTTATATGACTCCTAGGCTCGCCAAGTTTGACCAGGTTGACATTACATCTCGGCATCGCCAGGACAGTTGATGCAAGAGGTGGTGGAGCTCCATCTGGACTTCTACTGGGTGACTTTTGCAAGGATAATGCAGTGTCCACTGCCGGCGACGTTGCTACTCCACCATAATCAGAATTTGAGTGGCTTTTCTTTCTGGGTCGTCCTGGACTCTTCTTGTCATCTTTCTTCGGCGTCAACCTGGAAAGCTCCTTCTGTTTCTCCTTATATTGTCTCTGAATATCTGCCAGTCGAACTCTCATATGCAATTCCATGGCATCCATATTGGGCCAATCAGCATCATTGTCTGGGTGTCCTTTGCGTGCTATAAATTTCTTTACTTCCAATTTTGACTGGAGACTTCTGTAGCTGTGATGAGTCTCGTGCGAGTCTTGGTCCAAATGAAGATCACTGATTCCATTAAGTTCATCAAGATTGTCACCTTCACCAATCTGCTCTTGTGGAATACAAATCTTCGCAACTTCAGGAGCCGTATTCTCATTTTCGGAATCCGTGAATTCCTCCTCGTGTTTTCTCGGCGCTCTTCTTCCGGCGTGTAGAAAATATTCATATTTCTTACTGTAGCCCACCAGCTGTGTACTCTTCTGGTAACCGTGGTTCTTACCGTTAGTCCCTTTCTCTGGAGTTTCTAAGCGTTCCTGATGAAACGAATGATTCGGTTTCAATTCTTGTTGGATCTTTGACTCTTCACGGTCATTCATTTTCAGTTCGTGAATGGTTTTTGGATCTTTTTCTGTGAAATCAATATTCCTTCGGGTTTTTTCCTTCATTCTGAGAACGGGATCATCCATTACCTGGTTGTCATAATTCCTGCCATTAGGCTTTTCGAAATAACAGATAGTAGTATTCTTCGGACTAGGTTCCTCGACAATGTAATCCTCTTTTAACTTTTTTGCGTTTCCGCAATCCTCTAACGGGAACTTTCGCTTTTCCAGACGTTTACGTTTCTTGTCTAAAACACTTGACGTCTTACCCAAATTCAGAAGAAGGCGACCGGCGTGCGAGATCTCCTCGAAATTTTCATAATTAGTCGACTTCTTGGATACGCTGTTATCAGCGACCTCTTCCATGAATCGTTGTTCCGCAAGAGCGCATAATAATCCCAGAGGACTGTCCACGTCATTATTATTATTTTCACTCTGTCCAGTGAGAGGTTTTGATTTTTTTGGAGTATCGTCGACATCCTGGTCCTGTCCAGAAGTCTGGGAACCTGGTTTCCTGTGCTCCAACTGTTCTATGCTATTAGAAAGTAGTTCCAATCCGCTTAGATCCACGAGAGGTTTCTGCTTACCAGGACACCCGCCCACTTTGTTACCTTTCAGAAGTTCGGTTTCTATCAAGTTCTCCTTCGTATCTAATTCCGTTTTAGGAATATGATAGGACTTATCTAAATTAATTAATCTGGATATCATTGTTTCCTTCTTGGGGCTTGTGCTGCCTGTAGAATTCAAAGAATCCATTTTAGTTTCTTCGCCTTTAAAGTGATCAGAACCAATCATCTTCTCTGGCTTAGGTATTTTGTTCTCTTCACGCTTTTTTATCAAGGATGTATTATTGTTGTTATTGTTACTGATGTCATTATTATTAAGAAAGTAAGCTCTACCAGTTATAGGCTTAGCTGGTGACAAGGAATTCTTATCGGATTTCTGAAGGTACTTTCCACTAGGATATTTGTCGACGTCTGTGACGTCCGCGTCGCGATTACTTAATCTCTGTTGCAATGCAAGTGCCTGCTGTTCGTTTTCACATGACCTCAGAATAAGTTTTTTTAGCCCGTTCTCAAGTCGACGTGGTGAATTTTCAACGCGTCTTGGTACAGCTTGACTTTCAATCTCGTCGTTCTTCTGAATATCCTGCATAGCGGCTGCGGCATTTTTCTTCAGCTTCTCTACGACGTTTTCGATACCAGGATGAAACTTATCGGTAGGGTGATGACGTTTCTGCAGGACTTCAGGACACTTGGACTTGTCCAAGTTATTCTTCTGGGAATAAAGACAATCTGTTAAAACTCGCTCTTCGTCCTTTTCCTGCTTGACAACAATATGCTCGATCTGATCGTCACAATCAATCGATGGCATATCGAATGATTTCACAGTCAGTTGCGAATGACTCTCGTTATTATTAGTTTGTTGATTGTGAGACCAGATATCTCGTGATTTCCCGCAACTCTCGCAACTGGCACACTGACTGCCTTGTTGCGGCAGATCTGACGTCTTTGAAATATTTTCTGGAACCTTTGACAATTCTGGTAGATATTCCGGTATTCCGGAGGCTTCTGACACACTTTCGATGATATCCTGAGTCTTCCTCGTATCCTCGACGATGCTCTTTCGAAAGTGCGTCAAAGGATCTCGTCTTCTGGTGAAAAATTCAAGGTTCTCGTGAAAGCTGTCACAGTTCTCTTCCGTGATTTCAATGATTTTCGGACCCGCTCTTATTTCCTGTACGGGGCCATGTTTTCCTTCTGGTTCGCCATTGTGACAATTCACCACGTGCTCTATCGTCCTGTCCACGGAATTCACTGAACGATTATTCTCCTTTGCGTTCGTCACTTGATATTTCGCGCACTCCGTTCCGCCGGACACCACGCCACTCTCAGATTTTTCAACTTTACCCAGGACCCCCGGTGCACTATTTAAATGTTGATTGCCAAGCCTTACGGCCAAATTTAAAATTTTCTCTGGACTTTGAGTATTTTCAAAATTTATCGTACTCTGCATCTGGCACGGACTAAAATTTTGTTCCTGCTTGACGATTGGGTCCACGACCAGCAGTTCATCCTCAGCTTCCGTCGAGTCCGTCTGATTCGAAGCATCCTGGACTCCGATTGGCGTGGATTCCGGTGGTTCTATGGCGTGTATCGTGGTAACTTCCGGTGGCGGAGTGAGACAGGACACCGGCGATGTTGCCTTTGAAATAAATTCATTTCGCTGCTTGCCCGGAGAAATTCAAAAGAAAAATTTCACGTGTTAGACAATAAAGCGTGAAACGGTTTGAAATGTGGGTTATTAAGAATTGCATTGCGAAATGCAGATAAACTCAGTAGAGATTGTAAGTCGGTAAGCTCTGATCGTCTGATAACAAGCAATGCATTACTGTGCTCACCTGTGATCTGCAATGAGCTGGCTCTGCTTGACTTATTTGCACGAGGGTTGGTGCGTGGGGATAGTAATGAAGGGTTGTTACCAATGGCGTGTCCGGTACCAGAGTACCCGTCATGGATGTCACAGTCTGCAGTGCCTTGGTAGATTCCGCCGAGGCTAAATTCAAGACAAAACATCACACATGACGTTGAATATGGTCATTATCAAAATAACACTCACTATAAATATACCTAATGATTACGACCTTTTGTTTTTGCACTGAAAAAGTTCTACTATAATACTCACTTATTATAGTAGTGGGGCTACTGCCGCAATCAGCTTCTATTTTGACAATGGGCAGATTGCTCTGCTGCTTCCTCTTGTTTTCAGTAAGAACGAGTCTCGCACCTCCAATATCGCTAAGAAGTTGAAGAGACGGTGGTGGCGGCGGTAAAAGTAATGGCGGCGGTGCAACATTACTGCCATTATGACCGGGATAATTTGGCCATACAACAGCCTGCTGCATTTGTTCTGTGCATTTGAACAAAAACAAAGGCCAATTCAGACTCAAATAAATATACCAGACCATCGTTTGGCTCTTCATCAGTTTCCATAAAACTTCACTATATTACAATACAGTAAAAACAAAATACACATCATACCTGCTGCGTGTATCAAAAGAAGATGTCCAGTAGTAGGATCCCTGACGAGCTGAAGTCCACCCTGCAGACCAACCCCCATCTGAGGAAATCCTACAGGTTCCATAGGCATGGCTATAAAGGAAGAAAAAGCACCGTTATTCCCATACCATAACGCTTAACCCCGAAAACCCTGTAAATTGTTCCAGCCCTGAGTTCCCGTAAGGAATACGAGATCCAAGTACCAAGGAACAACGCAAACCATAGTAAACTCTAACGATGCTGACCTGGTGTAGGATATTGCCAAAGCGTCGGCGGCCAGGTGGACGCGGAAGCAGCGGCAGCGGCGGCAGCCGCCGCGGCAGCCGTGGCGCCAATGTTGCCGAGGGTTGAATTCAGGGTGGAATTCAAGGTGGAATTGAGGGCGGCGTTCAGAGAGGGTGGCAGCGCGCTCGAGGGAATGGCGAGATGGGCCGGTCTTTCGTCCCCACCGGGTCCACAATGAACAAGAGTTGCACCGCCTACTGCCATGGCCGTAGTTGAACCTGAGGACGCCCACAGAAACCCCACCGAGAAATGAGATTCGTGAAGCGCGCGGGCGCACGGTACCGACGCACGCACGCACGCATGCACGCACTCAAACCCAATTTATAACCTATGGATATACCACAGCAGAGCATCGCGATGCTAGAATCGTGTAGAACGCTAGGACGCTAGAATGCTACGACGCTGGGACGGTGGGATGGTAGGACGGTAGGATGGTGGGATGGTACGGGCCGCTCTCTTTAACTCTTTATACGACACCGCTCCGTGCGCTCCTCTAGAGAGCTAACATGGCCGTTTCGACACATGCGGCTAGATATATATGCATACGCGCTTATACTCCACTTTACTTCCTTCTTCGCGCTATTACGCAATTCTAGCATTATCGCCTAATGTCATTTATCGATGCTATTATGATGCTCCTCGACACTTTTTTTCATTCTTTAATTTTCAGTCTATCTCTCTCTCTCTCTCTCTCTCTCTCTCTCTCTCTCTCTCTCTCTCTCTCTGACACTCTAACGTAACGCACCCTTACTCACTAATGACTTCAGTGTACTTCTTCGACTACCTTAATTTTGGGCTTTTCTGCTTCACATCACTGTGTGGCTACGATACTTGCTTAGATAAAATTCCATAAGAATTTTTAATAACGATCATCGGCAAGGTCCATGAAGAACGTATACCGGTGGAAGGAACGATAGGACTCGACGGTAATACAGAAAGAGTACACTATACTTCCTCAAAGGATAATAAGACTCTGAAGTCTACAGTGATGTATAGGAAGTTGGTCTAATGCATAAAGTGCTATCAAGTTTAACCAGTATGCGTGGAATCCAGCATGGATCCACACGATAGACGTATATACACAGAGACAAGATAGAGAAAACTGCTCACCAAGGTTATCCGGTTGGAAATGATGATAGCTATGATGCGAAGTGTGATGGCTAAGAGAGACATTCCTCATAGATGATGTGGTCGAGGTCTCCTGATGCTGAAGTCTCTGTCTGGCCACGGCGATGCCCACCGGAATACCCGTAGTGCCAGCGCCTGCACTCGAGACTACGATACCTGGATAGACGTTCGAACATAAAGACGTAAAGAGCTGACGAGATTAGGCGTAATGGGGGACATCTTTACGGTTAGTCCGGCATTCGTTTCAATCAGCATCCACTAACCTGAACCAATGCACGTTTAAGCACAAGTAACCAGGATTTTCTGGTGGTGTACTAAGGGGCATGCTGAAACCTTGGGCATATTAGAACAGAGTCACGAGCCGACAGACAAGGGTTAGTGAGCAGCACTCACGTTTTGAGCCACGCCTTGTGTTTGCGCCGCCATGCGTGCCACGCACCTCCTACCTTAACAAGGCTGTACTCTTATGTACCTATTATTGTATACCTAGAGGCTCTCTCACTTTGCGCCAGTGTGTAGATGCACGTACAAGGCGCATATGCACGTACATAGGTCAGTGGTTAAGTTCGGTGGGTAGACGAGAAGGTGGGTAGGGTAGGTAAGCAGGTAGGTTAACTGTAGGTGGGAAGTGGGTAGGTACAAAATTAGGCAGGCAATGCACCCCTCGACTCACACGTGGAAAAGGTATGCGTTTGTTCTGCCCCGTGAGTCCCCATAGGGTAAAAAATAAGGGTTCACGCGTGCCTGTACATTTGAACTCGACGCAGCAACCTCTCCACGCTATACGTGCCCCGTAACGAAGGCTGGTTTTTCTGTCCTGCACACGGGGCACTCTGATTGGTCGAACGTGGGCCAACATTGAAACGGCACATACGTCGCCCTCTCTCTTTTTCATAGTCTTTTGTAGTTCTCAACTGTCCGCGAAAGACCCACCCTACCAACCCCCTCCCTTCCCCGTGCGCCATATTCTCGATCTCGACATTTTGAAAGGCACCCTCTTTAGTCCCATGGCTAATATTCTTATTTAATTCCTTCTCCTATGCTCTTAAGTACTAGTGGTTTTCGCTTGTTTATTGAAATGAAAATGATGAAAAAATTCTCTTTTCAAAGTGCGGTCTTACCGTTTTCTGACTTTGGCAGCACTGGCTCGATCTTCACGGCCGTTGTTGTCGCGTGAAGGGACGTCGACACTTCGGCGACCTGGCACGGTACCGAGGTCAAAGGTTCCCTTTTTATTGAGCTCGTTGAGTTACTTCCGTTTGTGCTGGAGGACTCCTGGCCGTTCCAGGATGAAGCCACAGGTAGTGTTCTACTGCATCCAACATCCGAATGGACCACTTTTGTTTTTCCTATTATCAAATTTAAGAGGTGACTTATTTTTCACGTGTGTGTTTTATACTCGGCATATATTGCTATACGTGTGCGTTGCAATGCATTCGTATTCAATACTTCATATATTCATCCCTGATATCATTGACCACGTCATACGGTAAGGTGTGGTACCTGGATTCCGGAAATTTTATTTTACAGAGAAATAATTAATAAGCGACTTTTCTTTTTGGCAACTACTGTATATTCCATGTTGAATGAATATTTTCATATGAATAAAAGTATTCAAATATTGACATATTTACTGACGTTGCTACTGCCATACGGATCCTGACAGTGAGGATTCAGCAAGAGACTTCAAATTTGCAATTTTAACGATCTTTATGTACTAGTTCTCTCTTTTAGTCACATTAACGACGATAACTCTGTCTCTCATGTCTAAACATAGGTACCTATCTAAAATTACATTCTGAAGATGATCAGCGGCACTGAAGGCATCGTTGTATCTCGATAAATGCATATTGATAAACACAGATACAACGATATTATCAACAATCACTTTCAGAGCACACAGTAGAGGAAAATATTATCTATACAAAGTTAACCCAGTTTCCATACGGCACATAAAACTTCCTGTCTTAGAATAACTCCCAGGAAGTTGATAGAATTAATCACAAAGATATGGAAATCTAATGAGTTCAAAAATAAACTTGGACCAGCCCCAGCGCATATTTCCTATATTCTCCTAAGATAAGAACACTCACCAGTACTGCTTTTACATACGCAAGGTTGTCGGGTCTTGTTTTCCAGCTTAACTGGCTGACCCTGGCTAGGCAGAAAAGCCTCGCGTTTCTTCGGTACAGTAACAACATTACTGGTAGTGGCACCCTGCACTACCATAGTGCTGACACTAGTAGTAGAGCTAGTGGGTACGCAGCTGGACGAGCTCGGACAGTTGGTAGTGGAGCCCGATGACGATTGATACTCCTGCAAGAGGACTCCGGTGCTCGGCACCACGTTCCCGGTCGAGTTTGGAGATGAGAAGCTGTTGATAGTGAGGGTGGGTGCACCGCCAGTAACCAGCGACAATTGGGGCGAAAACGTGCTCTGATGCAAACCGCCTTTACCACCCGGAACCGGAAGCAGTATTGAAGAGCATAGCGAAGAGAAAGAAAATGGTTAAGAAATTATTTACTTAAATTCTGATCAACCCATTGAAAATTATCATCAGCAGTTTCTGGTACCATTGTGCGTACAAGCGATACCAGAAAGTTTAAAATTTTTTACCGTGGTGAAGATGATGCAGGCCGGCGAGATTAAGTGTGTGCTGGGTGTGCTGAGTATGTTGAGCATGATGAAGGCTACCCACGTTGACACCAACCCCCTGCAAGCTCAGTGGCTGTGGTCCTGGTGGTGCGAGACTCGCAAGATTCTTCGCGAGCAATTCCAACTGCGTCACAGGCACAGGACTGTAAGGTGAACCGGGGGGTGGCGTGGGTGCACCCCATGTGTAACCACCCACCCCTACACCCACCGCCGCTGAGAAGACACTCTCTGAAACTGCAGAGGATTCTTGAACTTATTTTTTATACTAAATATAATAGAAGCTGGATTTAATGTAGCTTTTATGATGCCATCATGTTGTTCTGATTATTGGCTCTATGGCTCTAAAAGTATATTTTTGTCAGGCTAATTTTCTTTTCTACCATATCGGATAATTTTAAGAGAACTTTCTGATAACCATTTGCTGGAAGTAGAAATGAGTCAAAGAAGGATCCATTGATCTTTTCCTTGCTCGATCTGGCTAGCGAGCGTGACGAGTTCTTAGCAAGCCCAGGCGAAAGGCGTTACGTCCGTTTCATGGCAAAACCTCAAGCTATCTGGCTATCTAGTTGTTCCAGCTAAACCATCTACCTACCTACCTACCTGTTCGTTCTGGTCGCGATCCGCAGCGTGAAAGCGACAAAATCCCTAGATTAGGTCAAAACGAAGTAAAAATTCTGGAAAAGAGACTGGCGGGAAAAGAATAATAAAAAAAAGCACTTGCTGATGAAATCACGATAGAGCATCTATTCGATGCGAAATACTAAAGGGAAAGGAAGAAACATACATATATACAATGTAGCATATAGTATATACAGAGACTGAAGAAAGTATTTTGCCATGGAAAAGGTAAGATTTTCCATCTGCTCCGAGGAAGGTAAAAGGTAAAGAGAATATAGAGGTAAAAGGCAGTGGAAATAAAAAAGAAAAAAAAAACTCAATGATAAAGTGAAGACTTTTTGTTTGTGATTCGACGAGCCCATTTTGGATTACACACCTTGGACAATGGGTTTATTAAAGGAGTCCTTTCGTGTATGCATATATGTATATACTTATAAGGCCGGTGGTCCAGCTATCCGAGAAAGGAAGTTAGAGATGAGAGACACAAGGAATCGAAGGACCAAGAAATCAAGCAGCTAAGGGACTGTGGTAAGGTGGAACCAAGGAGGCAAACATCCCTTCTCCGTATGCTAAGTAGAACACCCTTGGCTGGAACACAGCCCCTGGCAATTCCAGTAGAGGGCAATTCCATTCCATTCCATTTAGGCACATTTCAGCTCCTGCTGAGGTCTTTCAGCGCTTTAATTGCATAATTGCGCCATTGTGGCCCGCGCGCGGTCGCTCGGGCCCCGTGAAAAGGCCCTTCGAGGAAGGGCCCAGACGCGCCAAGAAAGGGAGTATGTGTACCCACCGCCAAGAAACACAACGAGAGAATGAGAAGGAGCCAAGAGAAACAAAAGGTAGAAATAAAACAAGAGACGATCCAAAGTGCGACTCATAGTTAAGCGAGAGAAAAGGCAAGACTACAAGGAGACTCCCAAACAGGAAAGAGGATAGGTGGACCTTCCGATAATTGAAATTTGTGCACTTTGACACCGAACGTAAACGCTCGTTTCTCGATTAAGGGATCGTGATAATAAAGATGCTTACCCTTGTGTGTGGTCGCATGATAAGCCCTCGCGGGACTCGGGCCCGGGGTGGCAGGGGTCGCGGTAACATAGCTACCCCCGCCACCCCCTGGAAATAACGAATAGAGTCCGTAGCGACTGACACCTGAAACAAGGGTGACAACGAGATTAGATGGGACTGCAGGAATGGAAAATAAAAAAAGTATATATATATATACATTAATGCATTCTATTTTGAGTTTCCCAGAATGAAGGGGCCCGACAAAGAAAGGTAAGGTATTGAAATACCAATGTGTCAAATGATAATTACCTTGGCTGTGCGCTGGCGCAGGGGTAGCTGCCAACGGCGGTGTCGCCTGGGACTGTTGGCAAGGGACCTGATTAGGCTGCGCCGGTGCAAGAGGCCAGAGGCCCGTCGTTCCAGGAGCCGAGGGTTGCTGAACCCTCGTGCTAGAATCCACCATAGGACGAGCACCCCCAGTCCCACCCTGGGCCACGGGAGGGACCAACATCGGACCACCCCCTCCCGAGGCTATAAGAAAACAAACAAAACAAAGGAACGATCTTAAAGAGATTGAAGTACAATGAAGTATCAACGGCAAATGGATGCCGTAAATCATTTATTACTAAGGAATAATAAGAAATAATAAAAGTAAACCACTCTCTCAATTAGTCGAATATGCGACGATGAACGCGCTGCTGTCAAAAGGGATGCTCAATGGGGTGGTGGGTCGGTAGGTGGTTAGACGAGCCGTAGCAAGCCTAGAGAAATAGAGGATGATGAAGGTGCTCGGGGGTGGACTAGCAACAGGTCGGCAGGCATAATGAACTCTCTTAGATATACATAGAACAAGATAGTACAAGACTAGTAAAGAGAGAGACACAGAGAGAGAGAGAGAGAGAGAGAGAGAGTGTGTGAAAAAGAAAAAGACAGAAAGGACGTCGCGACGTCCGACTCACACTCTTAAGCTCCCACACCTCTGCAACCTTTCTAGACCTCTATACCTCACAGCATCCCCACAACCTCACGTAAACATTTCCGCAACCCCCTGACCTCTCAAAATCGTGCGGCGTCTCGCAACGTAGTGACGTCATTCCGCCGAATCTTTCCTTATATTTCGCATGTTTCTTTTACTCGTGATCTTAACGCCGCGCATACTGTCAGATCACACGGGAGGTAAAGCGGTACGCGACTAATCGAATCTTTTTTCGAGCTCGGTGCTGCCGTTCAGGGTTCATAGGTTCATGGCTACGTGAGTAGATTAAAAGAGAACGGAGAGAAAGAGAGAGTAAGGCGAGAGCGAAAACGGGGAGAGACTCGTGGCTATTCGAGGGCAACAAAAAAAGAACGAAATCAAGAATAAAAGGGAAGTAGAAAATGAAGAAAAGATCCGAGGGCAGAAGAAGGCCGAGGCGTCGAATTTTTACGACCACCTGTTCCACCATTTTCCACCCCTGGATTCTGGTGTGGAGTAAGAGCAAACGAGAGAGACGGATACCGAGAGAGAGAGAGAGAGAGAGAGAGAGAGAGAGAGAGAGAGAGAGAGGGAGAGAGAGAGAGAGAGGG